TCCAATAACAAGGGGCAGAGAAAGGCCATTTGGGGAAGCTCTGGAGGAACACAGACCAGAAACAGATATTTAAAGACACTATAGATAAGTCCATACTTTTTAGAAATGTTTTATCTCTATTTGGGTCATTTGTAACAGGCACTGGAGGATTCCAGAATTCCCCTGACGGGGCCTCTGTGTATGTGGGAGGCAGGGTCTGACACACCCTGGAAGATGGAGGGTTAGGTCATGTCTGGAAGAGATGGTGGGGAGACAGATTGACCGAAAATAGCAATTTAGAGTTCGCAGAGGAAAGAATTTCCATTTTTGCCTAGTTCACTGCATTTTAAGCATCTCTGGAAAGTGATGTAACAAGATTCTTTGTTTCCACTTATTTGGATCACTTAGAACAGTCTAAAACCCAGACCAACACCCCCTCCCACACACCCACCGACTCCTCGCTTGATTGAGTAGCCTCAGAATTTAATGGTGATTTCCCACAGTGCACAGCACCCCCCTCAAAATCATAGGGTTTTCACCAACGTAGGTACAGACCCTGACTCTCAGATGCTCAGGAACCATGCCTGGTTACTATTATTACTGGCTGAAGGAGGAAAGGGACAGCCCCGGGGTGGGGGGGCTGTAAGCCCTCTGCACGGGGCACCCAGGCCTCATTAGCTACACTGTCCGTGAACTTCTGACAGAATGTGAACCAGTGAAAACGGGAAAATGGCGTCTGCTTCATCACAGAGGGCTAGAAAGTATTTTCCAGTAGCTTTTCAAATATTCACTCCCATGTCTCCAGTAACCTTTGTCACTAGTAATTAAACAGCTAAGCCAAGCTGCTTCTTCACCTGCAACCTGCAGGTGAAGAGTCGGGAGAGGAGAGAAGGGGGTGTGTCTGGGAGGCGGGAGGGCCCCACATCTCAGGGTGTCAGAGCCACAGGCACGGCACCAGAACCAGAGAGCAGGTGGGGAGGGTGTAGCTCAGTGGTAGAGCATGTGCTTCACACGCACGAGGTCCTGGGTTCAGTCCCTCGTACCTCCATTAAAAAAAAGAAAAAGAAAAGAAAAAAGAGAAAAAGAAAAGAAAAAAAAAGAGAAAAAAAAAGAAAGTAAAAGAAAAAAAAAGAAAAGACTAGAATTCAGAACCGCAGAGCAGGCGGGTTCAGTGTGTCTGTGGAATCTGCCAGCATCTGCTGGTCACCCGGACTGTGGGAGGGTCCTCAGGGAGGGGGACAAGCCTCCACTGACCTGGGATATCGCCAGTGACATCAGAAGATGGTGACAAACTTGGGATGTAACGAATTGCTTCCCTCGGGTCCTGTCCTAAGCATGGGATGCTGACACAGAGCTTTCTCTTCTTACATGAAAAATGGAGAAAGAAAAGCTAAGAGGAGGAGTCCTTTCAAAGGGTGTGGGCACACTCGGACCCTGCCTACAGTGCCAGGCTCACAGGTGCACTGATGGTCCAAGCAGGTCCTGCTGCCTGAGACCACTCAGTGTGGCATTCTGCCTCCCCTCCGCCCCCAGGGCCACCTACTTGACTGGCCGTCCAGTCCTGCCGGCCTCTGAGGGCTGCCTCGCGTCACAGGATCCCGGCATCATGGGCTGGATGGGCTGACTCAGCAGTAGCCTTTGAGTGGAGGAAGAGAACATGGGAAACTTGGATCAGTACCACGGCTGCAGACCCGCCGGCCAACGGCAGCCCCCGCCCGGCTGGTTGGGCCCTTTCTGGCTGACCCTAATCCCCACGGGATCTGCCCTGTTCTCAGAGGGCCCTGAATGCACCAGGCCACGTCCTCTGGCCACAGGACCCCGGCCCTCTCCTGCTGCTGCGTTAGCTGAGACCAGCTGCAGACACTTTGGAGTCTAAGGGTCTGAACTCTGCCTCCATCTACAGCAGAGCGGAGAGCCAAGCTGAATGGTGTTAAGACGACGGCTCGGTTATCTGTTCAACGAGGACAGTCTCCAGACCTGAGCTGCCGGTCGTGGCTGAAGTCCGGGCTGGGATGGCACTGGCTGGCGTCCTGGGAGGCGGAAGCAGGCGTGGTCAGGCTCAGAGCTGGCGGGAGTGCGGCGGTGGCGCTGCTGAAGGGCGGCGTCAGGCTGGTCCCCGCGGGGCCGCTTCCCTGCACCATCTGCGAGCTCCTCATTGGCTTCGGACCCTGGGGCAACCATTGGAACAAGAAAGATAAACCTTTGACTCAACTCGGCTGTCCCCTCTTCGGAACCTCTTTCTTTTACCTGTCTTGGCCTTCTCACTAACTTCGGACCCACTGGCTTGTTGACTGAGTTCTTTTGATCTTGTGACTGTCTTTCCCTTTGGATTGTAAGCATCTCAAGGATTCTGTAAATCCCCTGGGGGTAGGGCAGTGCCAGGCAAATGTGCATTGAACAGAACTTCTTTCGTCTTCACAAATTCCACTCCTGACAGGTGGATCTCCCTGCTGTCTCTCTAACTCACCAGGCCTACTCCTGCCTCAGGGCCTTTGCACTCTACATGGAATGCTTTTCCCCCGGTACTATTCTCTCATCTGCCTAGTTCTTTGTTCATTTACTGCCTTTGCCCACTGGAAACTCCAGCCCTCCCCCAACGTCAGAAATCATAAGTGAATGGGCTTATATTTGCTTTTTTTTTAAAGCCCTTATTTCATCTTTGTTTTTTGGGGGGACGAATATTTATTTTTATTTATTTTATTTTATGTATTATTATTTTTAATGGAGGTACTGGGGATTGAACCCAGGACCTCATGCTAGGCATGCACTCTACCACTGAGCTATACCCTCCCCCTGTATTTGCTTTTGTTTTTTGGGTTTTCCACTCTGTTTCACTGACTCCATTCACTCGATGGCACCACCTCGTTTTAATTCTCAGAGCTTTTATAAACTCTTTCAACACAGAGAGTGTAAATCCTTCCTCAGCTTTTTCTTTTCCAAAATGTTCTTGGCTAGTCTCCTCCAATAATTTTCCTATTGACCTTGAGACCCAAAAGGCTTGCATTTTAAAGTCAAACCCTTAAATCTGGGTGATGACGGGTAAACTCTCTTACATACGAACTTCTCCACATTTTATTGCATGTTATCTGTTACAGCCCCTGCTAGACTAGAAGCTTCTTGGGGCCAAGGACAGTGCTTATCCATCTGTGCTCCCCTGGGGGCTGGGGAATAACAGGAGACCAGTGGATATTACTGAATCTATGATTATGCATGTGAATATAAGGGGCTTGAGGAGAGGCTGCATCTAGACTTTCAGTCTGTGGTTGTCCAGAAGCGGGGTCTCAGGACTTCTCAACTGCATTGGATTCAAGTGCCACTGACGGGCAGATGACCCTGTCAGACCATAGGGTCACTGCTGGCTTGGAGTAAGTGGTAACGGCTATGAGGGAAGGGCAGGACAGGGAATCTGGGGGACCAGGAGGAGCTTGGTGACCCTGGGGAAAGGGACAATGAACAGAAGTGGGTAAGCATGTTCTCATGCTGATAATTGTTAAAACCAGGAGTCAGTGATGGGGACTGAGGACTCAAATGTGGGGACATAATGCTGTGAGCGTGAGTGTCTGGGATGGCCAAGTCCACCTCCAGCTCAGCTCAGGATCAAAGCTGAAGGTTTCAGCTGCATGATACCTTTCAGGTATTTTCACATATAGATAAAAGAAGAAAAGCAATAGAACTTGGGGTTTTGAAGTGACATAAAGAAAGGATCCCCTCCCCTCATCACATCATCTGGCCCTGAGGGGTCTCCAATTCATGAAGACAGGTCTGATGGAGGCGAGGACTGAGTCTGGCGATAAGCACCTTTACCTGGGTTGATATCACACTGGATTCTCTGAGCAAGTGCTGGCTTGTGACCTGGGCAGAGGCTATCTGCCCTGGAAGCTGAGGGCTGGCCGCAAGCTGGGGCTGGGGGCCTGGGCCCGGCCTCTGCTGGAGCTGCCGCTGAGCCTCAGGCCGCTGGGCGCCGCTGAAGCTCAGGGACACAGCTGGCTGCTGCAGAAACATCTGGAAACAGAAGAGGAATGCCTCTAAGGCTAGGATCACGGTGCCTTCCCAGGTCTGTACCTTCTCTTGTACGCCCCGTTCCTCCATAGCAAGAGGTTGGCTTTCTCGCTCTGACCTGCCTAGGAAGGTTCATACACACGACATGGGGACTCTGAGCCCCGGAGATGCTGCCAACACAGGGCAAGGCCCCGAGAGGGGCAGGAGGTTGGAGAGACACTGACCCCACCCTCAAGAAGCTTCTGGTCTGGCGCCTGAGGTCTCATGGTGTGGAAGGTGCTGAGACCCGGACGGTCTGTATGTGCCTTGATGTGCTGGTTCAGCCTGGGCTGACCTGTTTATGGCTCCTAGGGTAATTTGCACTTTTGCAAAAAAATCATTACTCAAACTAAATAACATATATTTTTCTGGTAGGATACAATTTACCTTCTGATTAGAGTTCAAATAAATGCAACCTTTATTTATGACAGTCAGTAAAACCTAGCTGAAATTAGACACATTTTAGTTCAGATTCCAGCCTCACCAGATCCTCGTGGTGTGACCTCGGGCAATCATCATAACTTCTCAAAGCCGTAGTGTCCTCACTAATAAAACAGTGACATTAGCAGCCATACCTTATCAAGGATTAAATGGGGCTCATGCTGAGGTATAACACTAAGTGCTCAATACATGTTAGGTAGTAACAATAATGCTTAAAATGAAAAAAGGGAGATTTTTGCTCTCTGGCCTCTTTGGGCATATAAAAACTATCTGAAAAATGAATGAATGAATGAATGTATAAATACATGAGTGAATAAACACATAAATGAAGCTTTTGCTCAACGAAGGGAAACTTTCTGCTCGTGGTATGTCAGACACTGCTTGGTCTGCTACTCTGTCCCATGGATGTATGCTCTCTGAGGGTAGAAACCCGTCCTGTTTATCTCTGCATCTTCACAGTGCCTAACCAAGTGCCTTGTACATAACGGGTGTCTGCCAGATGGGTGGATGGATGGATGGAAGGATGGGTGGATGGGATGGATGGGATGGATGGGTGGGTGGACAGATGGGTGGATAGACAGATAGAGGGAAGGGTGGAAGTATGGGTGGGTAGGTGGGTGGGTGAATGGATGGAGAGAAGGATGGATGAAAGAACTAATCAATGGCGTTTGCCATTGCCAGAGGTGTCATTCTAGGTATTTCTCTGAGTTACCAGCAGAGGGCGTGGATGCTTGCAAAAATAAATGAAGAGGCAGCCTCCCACAGACTGCAGGGTGTGACAGCTTTATGACTGCATCTGGGTGCAAACACAACACCCTGAGAACCTCTTTCTTATAACCCAATATTTTTTGGGAAAAAAATATACACAGCAAGCATCTCAGGCACACATAGTCTCAGTGAAAGCTCCCAGTCAGTCGGTCAATGGAGCAGGTCGGAAAGGCTATACTCAAGTGGGGATAAAGGACTTTGGGGGCAGGGGATGTGCTGTCTTGCACGTCCACGTCTCTGCTTTGGCGACAGTAACGCAGAATTGTAGGGCTTAAGAAGATGATTTAACAGGGCTCTGGGATCAGTTTTCTAGAAAGCATGAGAAAAATAGTTCACTAATTCAAGTGGAAAAAGTGCCTGTGAGGGGGGAGGGTGTAGCTCAGCGGTAGAGCACATGCTTAGCATGCACGAGGTCCTGGGATCAATCCCCAGTACCTCCTCTAAAAATAAATGAGCCTAATTACTGCCCCTCCGCCAAAATAAAATAATTTTAAAAAAGGTTTTTTAAGAGTTTAAAAAAAAAAGAAAAAGTCATCAGAGAAAACAATACTTCTTAATTTTCCAGAACCAACAACTCTATACTCATGCGTGGTTTTTCATGATTCTTATACGCTCAGCTTCACACATGCTTGTTATTACAGAGCATTTCAGAAGCACACAAAACAGACATTGTATAATCTGTGAAACCTGCATAGGCTTCAGCAATTACTCACATTTCAGTCTTCTCATTTAATCTATCTCCCCCACTTTTGGGGGGCTGAGTGGAGTAATTTTTACTTGCTTATTCTTCATGCTTGAATCACAAATATTTTTTCAAACATCACATTTGGCCTAATCATTTTACACTTGATCTTAGCCAGAAGGCCGAGAAGCGATGGCCTAATCATTTTAGAACGTATTTCTTTCAATCCTTAAACTTGCAAAAACGGACGAAGAAAGACTCCCTGAAGGATCATTCTCCAATTTGGCTATCTGTGGATCTCCACGTTCTTTGGGAAATTCCACTGCAAAGATAAGGTCACAGGGATGAAAACAGGGGAGGACTGCACTGGAGGCCTCGTTCCCATGCCGTCCCTTACAAAACTCAGGCACTAGACTTGGGGGTTAACAAAATGCACTGTCATGAGAGAGAATTAATAACCCTTCATGCCAAAGAGTGAAAGAGATAGCCTCATGTCCCTGTTATTTTAATTCTGCTTTAATGTTGAAAATAGAGAAGACCGGGCTCTGAGGAGGATGTTCAGCCGCCTACCTTGCTTTTAGCAGTTTCTGGCTCAATTCCCCCTTCCTGTTGGTATAAAAATCCCATTCAAGTAATTGGAGTCAGGAGTTCCCCCCACCGGACCCTGGATCAGTGAGAAAATATTACCGCCGGGAAAGAATAAGTAACAAGGGACTGCCACCTTGATGACTCCAGGTCTTTTCACATAAACGCTGCCCTCTTCTTCCTCGGCAATTTGGGGGTGTTGCTAAGGATAAGGGGGGGCGCAGGCTGTGGGCGTGGCTGGGACAGTCCCAGCGGCACCGTGCAGGTGCACCTGTGAGGCTGGCGGGAGGTGTGGTGGCCTGGCTGGGCTCGTCCACCTTAAGGGAGGGGAGGGACCCCACTAAGAGGGCTCTGCAGGGCGTGAGCGTCTGGAAAGCCCACCAGGAGCACCTGTGGGGGCCTAGGGAGGCTGGAGGGCCGGCTCCAGGGAGCCCAACACCCCCACACCATCTTTGTTCAGGGCTCAGGGCTGCGCGTCTCCCCTGTAGGGGACTGGAATGTTAACCACTCTCAGGGTGCACGCCAAGGTTGGCTACATTTACCGTCAAAGACTGGGTCAAAAAAACACCCTTTGGAAGAAAAATTGTCCTGGACTGATTGAAGCAAAACTTGGTAAAAATAATTTATCCTTGAAAGATAGATATATAAATATTTTATATAATATATAAAGTCCTCCAAAAAGAATCTCTTGGAAGGATTCAAAGAAGTGACATCTGGGGGTGGGGGTCACGTTAAAACCTGCTGCTGTCCGCACGCAGAGTGCTGAAATGGGTATGTCGCAGAGGGTGGCGGGGGTGGCCTGGAGGTGCCAGGGTGCTGACCTCCAGCCCCAGCTCCTCCGCCACCCCCGTGGGGTTCAGGGTGCACATATCATTTCCCACATCTCCCTCCTCCCTCCACGCATGCTTTGGAGGAGAGGAAAGAGCAGAGCTGCTTCCCTCTCGCTGTCAGCATCCTGGGCTAGGTGCTCAGGTGCCAGGGAGTTTATAACCCCATAGGAGGGAGGCTGGGGTCAGTGCAGGGCGACCAGACACATGAATGAAGGAGCAGGTGATACAGGAAACATGTGCCCAACAAAGTGAGGGGTGAGGGAAGAGGATGTCATGCGAATTTCACATTTGGCCTGGAGCTGCGGATGGGGGAGGTGGGATTCACTCCTCGCACTTCATTGGTGGAGGTTTCGACATGTTTAGTACGCAGGGCTCAGTAAGGCAGCACAGAGAGACTCTGGAGGAAGTCCTGCCTGCCCTGAAAGGATGGATGAGGACACATCAGAGAAAGAGAGAGTGGCGGGGAGGACAGAGCCCAGGGGCCACTGGCCCGGGAGGGGGCATCACCTGGACGTTGGAGTCCTGGACCAGGCAGAGCTGCTCCTGGATCTTGTGGAGTTCTTCCTGCTGCCACCGGATGTTGGCTTGCAGGATCCGCGTCCGCTGCTCCAGCTGGTCTTTGATGGTCTGGAACATGCTGAGCTGTGCTGAAAACTTGAAGGTGGGGGGGGTCAAAAAACATAAGCAGGTGAGAGAGTTATTTCAGCCTTGCAGACAGATGTTGCTGCTGTTCTGAGCCGCCCTGCCCGCTTTCATTTCCGGTCCCTTACCCACCCTTTTCAGCATCCATAATGAGTGACCCACTGCTGGGAGCTTGCCAGGGAGCAGGGGCTCTGGATGAGGTCTGGGTGTCCCTGGGGTCCCCGTGTGAGCTTTACTCAGGCCCACGGGAATTTGCAGGTCTAATTAATTGCACTGTAGTCTGGGAAGGCCACAGAATTGGGGCATGATTTTGTAAGCAGTGCAGTGCTTACCAACTGATATTCCAAATTTGGTTAGACGTAGACGGACACATGGCTTTGGAGAGGAATATCAAAAGCAGGGTATCAGAGAGCCCCCCTCCCTTTTTTTCCCTCTCATCTAGGGCATGACAATTTGCATGTGACAGCTTCACACGGGATTTTGGATGCTATCATTATCCTAAATCTGCTCCTGGCAAGCAGGGCTCTTCTGGAACAATTCACAAACAAGCTTAAATTGAATGTATTCTAAACCCTCCTGGGACCGCAGAAGCCTTATCAACCGTCCTACACTCTCCCCCAGGCACATTTGCGGCTATGGACTTGGAAATCTGTACAAAAAAGAACTAAGAAGACCAGCACTCGGCTAACACTTGCCCCAAGGGTAACGCTGGTGGAGGTGACCTGCAGGAGGGGCACCGATATCTGTTGTGCACCGGAGCACACGTGTTCCTTCCTTCCACCATGTAACGCCTTCCTTGGATGCAGGGTGGAGGCTGGCTTTAGGACAGTCTCCCAGGTGATCTCTGCCCTGGGTCACCTGTCTCACTCGACAAGGGACTTTTCTGGCAGGAAACGTGTGGCGAGTGGGGAGCATGAGAGGGGAGGTAAGGCTGGCACTCCCGCTCTGGGCAATTTGGGGGACTCCCATTTATTGAGGAAAAGGAGTTTGCTGGACTGGGATTTTTGCTCTTTTCTCCTCCCCCTCATCCTCCTCCTTCTCTCTCTCTCTCTCTCTTTTTTTTTAAAACAGTGACTTAACCTGCACTCCCTCCCTCTCTATCCCAGCAATCTCCCTAGACTGGTTCCTGCCCCTTGTCTTTTGCAAACACTTCCAGAGACGGTCTCTTTCCTTCTGCCCTGTGACCTCCCATCCGTGGAAATGCAGGGAGACTGGCAGAATTTAGAAAACAAACAGGAAAACTGGAGGATGGAATAGCTGATGGCGTTTTTGGAGCAGCAAAAGCAGCAGCAGTACCAGTGAGAACCGCAGGGGCAGACGCAGCCGCCTGTGGGGACCCGCCACACTGGGCCGTCACCACCCCAGGCCCACAGAGGCGGGACGTGCGACTCAGGGAGGCTGTGACTCGCTCCCGGTCCATGGCTGGGTGGTGGTGGGGCCGCAACACGAACCAAGTGTCTCAGGAGGTGGGTGAGGCCAAGAGGTTTGTGAGCAGCACCTCCCCGCCCCTCCAAATTCCACCCCGATCAGAGCGGCTTTGACATCAGACTTCATTTAAAAGTTCTGCTGCTGAACACGAGCCTATTAGAAATACCTGCGCTATACCAGTTCGCATCACAGAGGTCTCAGTCAGGATCTCCCGAATCAAAGCACTCAGCTGGGATTTTGAAAGAGAATTTGATTGAGAGAAAATAGCTCTATCAGGTATTAAATTACAATAACAGAACCCAGAAGTCTCTGTGGCGGGTTCTACAAAGTCAGGAAATGTTCAAGCTACGACGTCCACTTCCAGGACAGGATGCGCTGGGCTGCCCACTGGCTCCTGAGGGGGAACAGCGAGGGGGCTGGGCGGTCAGCAAGGGGCCAGCGTCGCGCTTCGTAAGTGTTAGTGACTTCCAGTATTGTTCTGGTTTTCTCAAAGCATTCCAGGTCCCCCACATTTGGTCTCTGTATTCTTGATCAAGGCCTTTTTGATGAAGAGTTTTACCTCAACACACCAGGAAGCAGAACCACCAGGTATACCCCAGATGTCAGATTTTATTTTTTTCCCCCTTTCTTTGGCAGGATGCTACAGGAATAACCTCGGTGAGGGGAAAGAGAGAAAACTATAGATTCTCTTTGTTTCACAGGAGTAGGTATGAAACAAACTGATTTGAAAGGCCAGCGTTACACAAGAAGGTCTTAAAGAATATGGTTATCAGTAAGTATAGTATGCCTAATGGGCCAAGAACTGTTACTGCTAATTAAAATGAGGTTCAAGAAATGAAAAATCCAAAAGGGCCATAATCACAGCATGACTTAGTATAAAGCAAAGAAATTCTTTACTAGGCAAGACCCGAAAGTTGAAGGAATTCTTAATTCATGTGCCTTGGATTGAAGAAGTTACTCATTTCATGCCAAATGTGCCCTGGAAATTTGGAGAGAAAAAAAATTCTTCTTCTTTTTTTTTTTTTCCTAATGTGGGTAAATATAGATTATTTTAATTAATCGACTCTGGATTGATAGCTTTTGTATCCTTACTCAATCCTAACTCTAGCAAGAAGCACGTGCTAGCCTGTGTCTTTCTTATTAATGCGAGGTCGTTGTTAATGGGATGTGTTTTCCGAGTTTTCATCAGAGGCGACAGAATTTGTACCAAGACAGAAGTCCACACTTTGGCAAGAGTGTGGCCAAGGGCACCTGTTGGTGAACTGCCCCTAGTGGCCAGAGAGGGGGCAAAGTTCAATATCCCATAAAGGAACTGATATCAGAGCTCTGGCCAGTCAGCTCAACTGCTCTGTGTGACCACAGACTGGCCGCTATTTCATTCAGCCACTGGCCAGGCCTCGACTTGTCAGAAATTTTTAAAACTCCCTGCTGAAGCACATACCCAGGTCCCTCTTCCCTGCCCCCCACCTCTCCATCTGGCAACCTCCTACCCATTCCTCCAGGCCCAGCTCAGCTGTCACCTCCTCCAGGAAGTCATTCTGGATTTCCATAGGCAGAATATTTTCTTACTGGTTCTATAAAAACACACACCCTGTCAGGGTGGTTTCTCTGCTTATATACCCATCTCTTCCTTGAAACCCGAGTCCAAAAGTGAGGGCACTCTCTCTGCACTCCTCACACTCACTCACTGGCTGACCCAGACAGTAGCTGGCTGAATGTTGTTGAAACGAAGAAAGAATTACTCACCAAAGCCCTGATCTTTACAAAAAAAAGTGGTATTTATAGTACTGGATTCCCAGCTTTTAGACCCTTGCAGGGTCTTTCCGAGACATTAGGCCTAAACCAGACCTTTTCTAAAATATCAGGACTCGTGAGAAATGAGATGAACACAGGAGAATGGCAGAGAGAGGAACAAAGACTGTCAAAAGGACTGAGAAACAGACACCGAGAAGGGAAGTGGGAGGATGTATTCAGGTGGGGACAGCAGAGAGGACAGGTGCAGGGCTGACATCCACAGCTTGATATCCCCTGCCCCTGCATGTGGGGGGAAGCAGTCCCCGTCTGGGGGCCTCGGTCTGGAACCTGCATATCGGCACCAGTGTCCTCCAGGGGACGCCACCATCCCGTCTTGGGGAAGCGCTGCCCCAGATTTCCCTTCCCCCGAGTCCCAGACTCACCTGTGTCATGGGGGCAGGTGGGCTCTGCAAAATGGTCTGAGGCAGGAGCTGCTGTGCCAGGTCACAGGACGAAGGCGCCGGCAGGGGAGCCTGGGGAAGAGACAGGGGCTTTGAGAACAGATGCAGCTTCTGGGCTGGGACAGAGGTCCAGGGCGCTGTCTCTCAGCCGGCTGGTTCTCTGGCTCCCAGGAGGCCCTCTGCCCAGGAGTGGATTGTTCACTCCTGGAAGGTATGGTTCCCTGGAAAAGGTAGCTGGCGCGCTGCTGCCCTGGCCGGGTACAGAGTCAGAGCCAACCGGTGGAGGGTGCGGGGTCCCGGTGGCACTCAGGGTGCAGTGCGCTCTGCGGAGTGGGACAGCTCTGCCCCACCCTCCCCCACCTCCTGTCCTCGGCTCCATTCTTAGCAGATTTGGTGGCTCTTCTCCCAAATCGATAAATTCTTAGCGGTGTTGTCGAGCAGTGAGAATGGGAACTGATAACCAGTGGTGGCTTTGCGAGGTCTTTCTGCTCAGCGCTAACACAGATGGACAGAGGTGCCATGCACGTCTCTGTCCCTGACTCACTCAGCCAGTGACCATCGCTGTGGTTTCCCCAGACTCTGCCTGGGATCTGGCAGAGAGTGTCCTGGAGGCTCGGCTGAGTCCCAGACCTTGTTCCCTGATCACGCAAGTGGGCAGGGGGGTCGAGGATTGGTGGCAGGGGGACCATGTGTAGAAAAGAAATGCAACCCTCGGCTTCACGAGGCTCTTTAGAAGAAAAGCAAAAAGATTCTTCTGAAGTTCTCCCTAAACTGCCCCAGGCCTGAGGGACTACGAAAAGCAGCCTGGGTGAGAAGCTGTCCCCAGGATGACGTCGGGAGCCGATGCCCCGGGAGACCTTGTTTTGAGGGAGAAATCCCGGGGACAGGGTTTGGTTCCCCCAATTTTGTTTCCCTCCACAGCCAGGTCAGAAGACCTGTGTCACCAACAGGAGGAAGGAGTCGGACTGGACAGTCAGCATTGGGAGAATGGCCGTCCGAGCTTACAAGCACGTCTAAAGGTGGCTGGAGTCAGAGAAAGTGGCCTCTGTCAGGTTCTATCGGAACATAAGACGCATTGCCCAAGCTTTTCAGCAGGGTGTGAGTAACTTCTGACGTGACAGCAAGAAGGATGGGGACACTTTCCCTCCCATCTCCCAGATACCAGCGAGGGATGGAGAGGAGGTACTTGGCAACTACCTGGATGTGGCCCCTAAAGTTTTTGGACACGTCTCCCACAGAGAACGAGGTCTGTGTCCTTCTCTCCGGGTGAGCTTGTGACTGCTTTGACCGAGAGGTGTGGCGGAGGTGACCCTGTGGGACTTCCAAGGCAAGGTCATCAAAAGCCATGCAGCTTCTGCCCGCCTCTCCTAGAAAGCTTCCTCTCCAGATGTTTCCTCTTGGAACCCAGTCGTTGTGTGGGAGAAACGAACGGCATGGCGCGGCCACGCCAGTCAACAGAGGGTGTTCTCAGCCAGCCCAGCCCAGGTGCTGGATGAGGAAATGCCAACACACCTGGGACGTGGACCTCGCAGGCAGGAGCCACCCCACCTCCACAGCCCACTGTGCCCTTTCTGAATGTCTGACCTGGAGTCCGTGAACATGAAAAAACGGTTGTTGCTTTTCGTGACTGAGTTTGGCGTGGCTTGTTACATGGTGATGGGTAACAAGAGTGCTGTGATCAGGGATTCTGCGGACAGCCGGCGTGTTTCTAAGAGGGCTGGCATGTATCAGGGACACTGCCTGATATTCGCAGAGGGACATTTTTGTTGACATCAAACACTTCGACTGGAGTGAAAGGGGGCCCAAAACACAAGAATTCTAATCATGTACACCCACTGTCTCGAGGGAGTTGGGGGTGACCAAAGGGCTGCAGTTTTGAGCTTTATCTTTAAAACTCCTTCAGATCTTGCATTCTGTGGATATACATCCATTTAATTTTGGAATACAAATTTTCAGATTGGTTGCCAATTAAACTACCTAGCTTCCACCCCAGCTGCCACCCACACCAAGTGCAGTGGGTTCTCTGGGAAGATGCCGCCTGCCGTCCCTGGGGCCTCACACATACCGGCATCGTGGCTGCCTGGCTGAGTCCCGGCACGGGGAGCTCCTGGGCTGATCTTGGCAAAGCCGTGGTGCTGGCCTCTGCCCGCAGCTTGCTCGGATTGGCTGTAAGAGAGGAACCCGTCACCTTCCGGACCCGCACGTCCTTAGCTTTCTTATCCAAAGCGAGGAATAGTAAGAACAGTGTGCATGAAACGAGGGCTTGGCTGGAACCTGATAAAGGAAGCCCAGCAGGGATGGAGGTGGATTCGAGAGCCCCAGACATCCTGCCAGCCTCCAACCTCATCTGGGAACAGGTGAATGACCACAGAGCATCCCCAAGACCCATCACTCGGTTTAACCACCTGCCTGATCGCGCACCTCACCAGAGCCACTAAAACGCGGCCAAGAGATCTGATGGGGCATCATGTGTGTTGTCTGCTTGATGTGGACTTCGTGCGGCAGCGGAGGAACTGGAGGGTGGAGAGGTGGGCAGCAGGGAGCAGTGGGAGAGAAGGCAGATGTGGGGATAGGATGGCAACCTCTGCTTCATAGCCCAGACTGCCCTGCTCATCCTCAGGCACGGCCCCCCACCGTGGGACTTTACATACACCCACCACTGCCTCGCCCGCCGGGTGCCCATCCTCTCCCTCCCGCGGAGTCATACTCACAGGCAGGCTCGGACATGGCCGTGTGGGAGGATTTGTGGGAACTTCTTGAGGACGCGGATGGTGAGTGACTGGTGTTAAGGCCCGAGGTGCCCATGTCAAGGGCACTGAAGTTCTGCTGAGGTTCCAGGCTGGAGCCCTTGTCCTGAAACACACACACACACACATGCACGCAGAGTCCATGTTTCAGCAAGAAAAGCGTGGCAACACTGAATTGTCCTCTAAATATGCAGAAAGCTTTGGAGGGTATGGAGAGAAATCCTGTAACTTCAGAGAGAATTCCAAACACGTTCGGGCGGAACATTTATACAAATATGTAACCTAGCATCTTTGAGAGGCTTGTAGCCTCTGAGTGGAATTGATTACACTTTCTCACCTTGTAGTTTAATTTTTTTAGATTTTCGTAATTGACTTGGCATTTTATTGTTTCCTTAAAACAGGGGTTTAAGACCTGAGACCAGGGGACAGAGACCAGCCTTTCCAAGCAGCTGGGTGGATGCCAGGACCTCACCATCCTTCTGAGTCTAGGTAGGAGCATGGCTCAGGGGAGTAATCATTCAGTTCTTTCTTCTGGAGCTTAAAAAACTGTCAGCTTAGACCCCCAGACACAGAAATGCAAAGTACACCCTGCCACTGATGCCATGGAGGGTGTGCGAGGGGCAGTGTGCCTGTGGGATGCTCGTCCAGAGGCAGAGCAACAGGGCTTAGGCGAAGGGGAAGACAGGGCACTCAGACAAACCCCACCTCAACGAGACGATGGAATAGCCCCCAGCTTTGGATCTGTGGGGAGATGCCACGTGGACTTCCTACAGGCAGACCTCATGTTTCACCTTACCACACTTCTCGGAGAGTGTAACTTATTTCCTTTTTTACAAACAAGGTTCGCAGCAACCCTGCATTGTCAGATGACGGTTAGCATCTTTTGGCGATAAAGTACTTGTAAATTAAGGCACATGCATTTTTAAAAAACGTAATGCTTTTGCACACTTAACAGACTACAGTATAGTATGAAGATAACTTTTATATGCACCGGAAAACCAAAAAATTCGTGTGACTCGATTTATTGCGATAGGCACTTTGTTGTGGTATTTGCTTTGCTGTGATGATCTGGAGCCGAACCCACAGCATCTCCGAAGTCTGCCTGTACAGCCACGCTCATGAAGCTGGAAAGTCGCCAACCAGGGCTTTGAATCCAGATGCTGTTTCTTGCCCAGCTCTGGGTGTCCCCAGCCTCGGTGGCCCTGGATACGTTACCTACATCCTCTGTGTGCCCTGTGCCTCATCTGAAGAAGGACCATGATACTGCCCGCCTCACAAGGATGTCCCGAGGGGTAATTAAGCGGGTGCCCAAAAATCACATTGAATGGTTCAGGGAACAGAGAGAGCGCTCAGTAAAGAGGATCTGCTGTTATTTGTATTATTATCTTTATGATCACCACTCATGGAAGAGTCTTCTTGGCCAAACTTTGCCCTTATCCTCTGATGGGGATCAGAATACCTTGAGGGCTGAAGGGTGGACGGCCTCCAGCGGCGGGTCCTCCAGGGCCAGCTCCTGTCTCCTCTCCACCCGGACCTCCGCGTAACTGATCAGGAGACCAAGAGAGCACTGCTGGAGGTGGCGTTCCTGGACCACAACAGCCAAGGGGGCTTGTGTGATATGTTGAGGGTCCCTTCGTAAGACCCCTCCCAGAACAGCCACCGCCAAGAAAATTAACCCTGTTACTTGTTTAAGGATGGAGTTTCTCTCTGTGCCTGAATTCCACTGGAATGACACCTAATGGGATATTCAGAATATTTTCCCTGCCAGGATGTTTGGACTCCCTTTTCCTTTACTTATGTCTACCCACTCCCCACCCTGAAGCCTCCAAACATAACTGTCTTTATTTATTTACTTATTTAGGGGGCGGGTAATTAGGTTAATTTATTTATTTTTTAGTGGAGGGACTGGGGATTGAACCCAGGGCCTCGTGCATGCTAAGCACGCGCTCTACCACTGAGCTGTACCCTCCCCCGCAAACATAACTGTCTTTAAAAACATATTTTCGTCTATCAGATGAGCCTTAGCCTTCAAGTAATTCGAAACTTTTCTTAAAATGGACTCAGTGGACTGAGCGCACGGGGAAGTGACACAAAACGGTCTTAGTAATTCCAGACTACGACTACAGGCACAAAACTTCAGGAAGTTGTCTCTCGACCACACCTAGAACTAGCCAGACCCAGACTGCCGATGAGCCCGTGGACGCACTTTTTGAAGAGCATGTGTAAGTCATTCCACGTGGTCACAGCCGAGGGACCCAGCCCCGGCTGTTGCTCACGTGTGGAGATGCAGGATGCGTGAGGGCCCTTGGGCATGGGTGGCGGCTCTTGGGTCCAGAATGCCTGTTACTTCATTTACTCACTAGGTCATGCCCCACTTCCTCTGAGAATCTCTGTCCTGGGTTTGGGAGGTGGGGGTGGAGTG